TCCATATGGCCAGGCTTTTCCTGGCATGCAGCCTCAGGCCTCTGGTGAAGGCCCCCCGCAACCTTACTACTCGCTCACCCCTTCCGAGTTGAAGCTCTCTGGGACCGGGAACTTTGATCCCCTCCCCTTCTTGAGTGATGACCTGGCTTTGCCGTGCCTGGAGCCCGACTGCATCTTCCACGGCATTCCTGCCCCGGCAGACGGTTTTCCAGATGTGCGGAAAGAGAGCTACCAGGCTACGCTTGAGCTTGCCCGTCTTTTTGATAGGCAAGGCCTTCTTCGCCTTCATGGAGGGGACGCGGCTTTGGGTAGCGAGCGGGAGTTTGTCAGGGTTTTTAACTGCTACAAGAGCCCAGGGGTTGCAAGAATGATAGGGGACAGACGCGGCCGAAACCACGTTGAGCTGCCCATCGGAGGGCCATCCTCAGGCCTGCCAACTGGTGTGCATCTGTTGGGCCTTATGCCAAAAGTTTCTCAACGGCTTGTTGTCAGCACGGCCGACAGGCGAGACTTCTACACGCAACTCAGGGTTGGCCACCGGAAAGCGCTCAAGAACTGCCTGTACCCGCCTCTTAAGGCCTCTGATTTGGCTGGCACCAAGGCCCTGGCTAAGCTGTCTTCGCCGAGCTGGGGTCACAAGAGCCTCCTCCCTAGCTCCGGGCGACAATCTCTGTTGGTCGCTCCGCATGATCCCGATGGCCCTCGCTACTTTGTGCTTTTCGAGGCCATCTTTCAGGGTGATCACCTGGGAGTGGAAATCGCTACGTGCTGCCATCGCCGGTACTTGTCGTCTTGTGGTCTTCTGCAAGAGGCCTGCGAACTTCGGGCCGATGCTCCGTTTCCCTTGTTTGCTTCTTGCATCGAAGGGCTCATAATAGACGATTTCTTTAGTATCTCATATGAGCCCGCCGGCGCTCCCGTCACTTCTGGTTCCTCTGCTTCGGGGAGAAAGCTACTTCAGGCTCGTGCTGCTTACCAGGAAGCTGGGCTCTTCGGCTCGACTGAGAAAGACGTTTGCGAGGCTTCGGTGGCAAAGGTCGGCGGTGCTGAACTCGATTCCTCTGACTTTGTGAGGTCCTTGGGCTTGACCTTGGCTGGAGCTCCTCGCTCCAAACGTTTGTCGCTGGCTGCGGTGTCCCTGGTGCTCTGCTCTTCCGCCTTCACCACGGATAGCTTGCACTTGTGCTTGATGGGGGGTTGGACGTCGATCCTCCTCTATCGGCGCCCCTTGATGTCTGTGTTCGCCCGGGCTTTCTCTCTCGTCGAAGGGACCTCTGTGACGGCCGGTTCGCCTAAGGTCATTGCCCTTCCTCGTGCTGTGGCGGATGAGTTGGTTGTCGTCAGCGCTTTGGCCCCCCTGGCCTGTTCTGACCTGTGGGCCCCTCTCCTCCCGAGCGTCTTTGCAACGGACTCTTCTGAGGAGGCTGCCGCTGCTGTGCAAGCCCCGTGTGACGACGATGTTCTCAAGGCTCTTTGGTTGTCGGCCGACCGCAAAGGAGGGTACTCCCGCATGCTTTCGAGGACTGAGTCGCTTTTGCAGCGCCTCGACCCTGACCGGGAAACCTTTGGTGATGAGGGTCCTTCCGGAGGACAGCATGTTCCTGAGTGTCGTGTCCACTCCCCTGCTCGGCCTCGTTCCCTTCGCTTCCACTTCCTCGCTGTGGGCTTTGGCTTGGACTTGTTGTCGAGTGCTCTCGCTGCTCTTGGGTGGACGGTCGGGCCAGTGCTGTCTCCCAAGACTTCCCCTGAGCTCTCTTTGGGCTCGCCCCACCTCGTGGCTTGGGTTGCCCACCTTCTCGAGAAAGGGCTTCTGGACTCCTTAGCCATTCGGCCTGCCGTTGCTGACTTTTCGGTTCATGTTGCCCCTCCCTCTCGTTCCTTTGGCCGGCCTTGGGGTTTGCAAAGAGAGGGAAAAGGTCTCCAGGGCAATGCTGTGGCACAGGCTGCTTTGTTCCTGCTTCATCACGCTGCCTTGGTTGGAGTCCCGGCCATCCTTTTGCAGCCGGGGTCTTCCCTGATGTCGCGGCTTCCTGCTTGGCGTGCGCTTGCTGCCTCTCGGCGTGTCCGGCCTGTGACCTGGCCAAAGAAGCGGTGGGTTGCGCTACAGTGCCATCTCCTCCAGGAGGGGAGTGCCTATGATTTGGGCGAACCTCGCTGTGAAGCTGACCTCCTTGACACACTGGCTCGTCATTTTGATGTTGCTTTAAATACGCGCTTCGTGCGGCTTGTTGCCTTGGATCCCAAGGTCGAGGGCCTTGAGACTCCTCTTGCAAACCACGTTGCTCTCGCGAGCTGTTGGAGTACGAGGGCTGTCTGGACTTGGCCGCGACCGGTGCACATCAACATATTGGAGTCCAGTGCTGTGTACAGGCTTCTCAAAAGCCTCGCCCTCGAGCACGATTCGGTTAGAGTTGTGTCGCTTTTGGATAGTAACGTGTCCCGGTGCGCGCTTTCCAAAGGTAGGTCCTCGGCTATAGGGCTTAGGCAAGTTTGCTGCCGCACTGCTGCGCTCGAGGTTGCTTTTGGACTGTACCCGGCCTTCCCTTACTGCCCGACTCGTCTCATGCCAGCTGACGGGCCCTCCAGAGGCTCCGATCCTCCCTCGCCGGTTCCCTGCCTCGGCCCTGGTTGGATTTGCGGGCCCCGCCTCCTTGATCTCCAGAGGATGCCCCGGCTTCGAAGGTGGGCCTCGAATTGGGTTCGCCTGTTGCTTCGGCTCGCTTCGCCCAGCTCCGCTGTTCTGTGCCCCGACCGTCGCTTCGGCACTTTTGCCTCCCGGACCTTCGTGCACAGTGGCATGGACTTCGATGCCACCTTGGGGTTTCCTGGCGAAGGCCCTCTCTCTTGGTTTTTCAGGGTTCTTTGGTTTGGGTTTTACGGAGCCTTTGTAGACCTGAGCCATGGCATGCTGCTTCCGCGAAACCCTGGCGACAGACTGCGAAAAGCTGCTAGAGAGCAAGCTCCCCTGCCGATTGGCAGGCCTGTGGAACGGCAGACCCAGCGACTGCGTGACAGGCTGTGGAATGACTTTCTGGCTTGGCTTGGTTCGCAAGGCCTCAGTGCTGAGTCTGTTTTTGGGGCCAGCGCTTTTGACATTGACTTTGTCAACATTGTCTTGTCTAAGTATGGCCGGGAGCTTTACAAGTCGGGGAGGCCTTACAGCCATTACAGCGAGACTATAAATGCTGCTTCGTCCCTGCATCCAAAAATTCGTCGGCTCCTTCAGCCCTCGTGGGACGTGGCGTTCGCATGGATGCGGAACGAACCGCACCATCACCACGTTGCTATGCCCTGGCAGGTTCTGCTGGCGATGATTTCTATTTCCCTTTATTGGGGCTGGCCGCTTTTTGCAGGATGCTTGGCTTTGTCGTGGGGAGGTTTGGCAAGGATCGGTGAGGTGCTGCAGGCTTGCCGTCACTGTCTGTTCCTGCCCTCGGACGTCAGGCTCACCACTGCTTGGGTGACCTTGACGATCGCTGAACCTAAAACGCGACACCGAGCTGCAAGGCACCAGTCTTTGAAGGTTGATCATCCTGATCTTATGGAAGTCATCGAGCTCGCCTTCGCGAAGCTGGCTCCAGGGCAACGCTTGTGGCCCATGTCTGCACAAAGCTTTCGAACGCGGTACCAGAAGATCCTGTTCGCCCTCAAGCTCCAGAGTTTGCCGAAGCCTTTTACCAAAACTCTGGACTTGGGCAGCTTACGTGCAGGCGGCGCTACATGGTTGATGATGGTGTCGGAAGACAGCGAAATGGTGAGGAGGAGAGGCCGTTGGCTTACTCCAAAAATAATGGAGATCTACATCCAAGAAGTTTCAGCCTTGCAGTTTTTACCTTCGTTGCCCCAAGCTGACCGGGATTTCCTGCTTGATTGGGCTGGGCTGTATTCTATGCTGCTCTCCAAGGTTAAAAAGCTGCAAGGCGTGCCACCTCATATGTGGCACTCCTACCTCTGTCCGCGTGTGGCTTGAGACCGCCGAAATGGGTGGAAACAACGGGTGGAGGCAGAGGCTGATGCAAAATGCATCACTACCGACCTGTGCACCGTCTTCGCAGGTGCAAAAAGCAGAGCGAGAGTTTGAGCCACTGTACAGTTAGTGGTGAATACGTCTGATCGCTGTCTCAAGTATCCCGCCCGCCGCGCCCGGCCACCACGGCAGAGGCTGATGCAAAGTGCATCACTACCGACCTGTGCACCGTCTTCGCAGGTGCAAAAAGCAGATCGAGAGTTTGAGCCACTATTTACGGTTTAGGGTTTAGCCTCTACGATAAGCCCACATACCTTCCTTAATTAGCTCCCAAATCTGAACTCGCATTTCCGAAGGGCCTGGACTTGCCAAGCCGCAAGTTCTCCAAACTACTTGTAAAAACTTTGTTAAGTTCACAAGCCCTGAGACCTCAACGCTTTCAAACCTCAAATCCCAAATGCACGACCCTGATGTAGAAGCTTAGATGATTACCAATACTACTCCTCAGGGTTTCTTATCATACTTATACTCTAAAGAGCCCGGAACCCTATTCTAATATTTAGGCCCGTACACCAAAAAAGCTTCAAGATTCCCGAGGAGCCGATGACGGTGCCCGAAAGCATCGAAGAAGTCAAAAGCAAATCCTGTCTGTGGGTAGGTCGAGTTGTCTTTTCCCAAAAACGTTCCTTTGAGGTTTGAAAAACGGGGCTCACAAGGCTTTTCGTAGTGGGGGCGGGGGGGGGTGTTAGGATGTTTGGGTTGTAGGGTTTAAGAGTGGCACAGTCTTTGTTTGGTTTAGGACTTATAGATTCTTTGTTAGTTTAGTGGTTGGTTTGAAACGGTTTAGCTCCACGAAATTTACTTCGGATCCCCAGTAGCTTCTCGGCAGACAGTAGCCCGAAAGCATTCTTCGTTCGTTCCGATGGCCACGGCCGTTTGCGCTGCGTGTGTTCCTTCAGTTGGTTTCGTCAACGCACCTCTGCCGTGTGGGCACAAACGTGTGCCAGTAGCAGGGTGCAGGGGCTCCCGAGCAATGCTTCGAGCTCTTTTCCTGCAAGTGCTGCATTGGAGCTTGCTACTCGTACCTGCTGTCGGGCAACTCGCAGCAGCGTCAGGCTTAGCTCTTGTGGCTGCCATGCAGGAGATTTGACGTACCAGGGCAACATGCTAGACTCTGCGATGTTTCACGCGCAGCTGTTTGCGAATCAGGCGTGGAGTGTAACATCCGGGCCCCATCCTCAGCTGTGCATTGCACTCTGTGCTGACACGGGTGAAGTCCGGCAATGTGGTAAGCCGAAGGGCGGGGCGAGTTGAGGCAATGCACGCTTGAAGCCGATGGGTGCATCAGCTCCCCGAGCTACCCGCGCTCCTATCCGGACGACAGCTCTTGCTCAATTCACGTGCCTACGGGGAACACCGATGCAATTCAAGTGGTCAGCTTTCAGACGGAGAGTGGTTATGACAAACTGCGGGTTAACGATCTAGATTACAGTGGCACTTCTGGGCCCTACGGCGTGGTGCCGCAGGGCACGATCGGTTGGAGTTCCGAGACTTGGATGCCATTTAGATCGCCACCTCTCTCCGCACGCCTTTCCACCAGTATCAGGATCCCTTGTTCGCCTCTGCATTGCGAGGACTCCTCGGTCAGTGGCTCTGGCTGGAAAATCTGCCTGCAAGAGATGCAGGTGGCACCACGCAGCATGAACCACTTGGCCTGACATCTCGCATGCGCACTTCGACGTCACCCAACTGGGGGTGAGCCACGGGGGGCACGGGGGCACGCACGGATGAAGGCATGTTGTAAGGATTGGCAGCTGCCTCTCCGAGCCCATGCCCAACCCCAAGCAACAAGATGCATCCCCAGCTGCCACCCAAGGGCCCAAGAGCATCCAGTTGACGAGAGATGTAATTTTGCAAATCGGCAGCTCTTTGAGGATGCATAGAGCAGCCCCTTGCGATCTTCCCAGGATTTCAAGCATTGTGGTTGCCAGGAAACCACTGACCCGACAGGGTTTTTGTGCGCGTGCGCGCACACACACACACATTCACTCTGTCAACATGTTTCTCCACAGCATGTCAAAAGAAGAAGTGGGAGTTTGAGGTAGCTTGCGCTCGCAGTGGTTGCTCCTGTGTGCTCTTTGGCAGGTCGACGGGCCACTGGCCTGGCTGCTCGAAGGCCACTGCAGTGACGTGATCGACGGGCGTTATGAGCTGCAGGGCCACACTGCTAGCGGAAGGCCATTCTACAAACATTGGAGCGAGTCGATGTACCTCTACTACGATCCAGATTGTGATGCCAATCCGGCCACAAGCGGTCTTTTGGGCGCCACGTGGAGGGTGGGTATCACTGCTCCTTCTATGTCGTTGGAACAGGATTTGGACAATGATGGAGAGTGTCGAAGTGCGGCGCTCCTTGACCTTGAACCGCCCTGAACAATTCTAAGTCTCTAAGCTCTAGAGCTGATTAAACCTAAGCCCTAGCCTCTCCAATGTCTGCGCATTTTTCGAGAGCTTAGCCTCCTAAGGTACGTGCAGAACAGCGCAAAGCTCCCCCCAGAGCGTGCCACGTGGCGACAAGTTTGCAGCGGCGCGTGGAATGATGGCTTGCTCACACTTTCACCAGCCTTTTGGCAAGAGTTCCGGCCTGTATTTCCTTCGAGTCTAGTGCTTCTATAGAGCCTTTTGTGGAGGCGTTGCTTCGCACGCCCCGAGTCCTAGAGCTCCGCACCATAGGACGTGAATATCTTCACACGGGCCCCGATAGCTCTTGCGAGTACGCTTGCTACCCTCCAACCACACTGTCACCAACTGCACATGAAGTTTTAGGCAAAGGAAAGGAAAGAAGAAGGATCGCGTACCTTGCTAGCTGCTAGAAGAGATGAGACTCTACATGTACTGCCTTGTTCCATTGCGCAGTGATCGGATGGATCATCAACAAAGGAGACGAGCACAACACGGACAGCTGCCTGCTTGAACTTAGTCACGGCAATGAATGGTCAGCTTTCCCGAAAGACTGTCATAGCGTGGGGGTGGACGTCTCAATGCGATTAGAACTCATTAGGTGTGCACACGGGAGGGGGAGGGCGGAGAATGCACATTCCATTCGCATCGGATTGAAAGGTTCGGTGAGTGTTGCAGCATGCTGGCTTTTGCGTTGCCTTGTTCAGTCTCCATCGCTGTGGGTGTCAAGAAGCTGCCGCTCTTCGCTCAGCGGCGTGTACGAGCTCCAGGGTTATCTTCTCGGAAGACCTTGGTACAAGTACGAGAACATCATCACATCCTCTGTGGTGTACCTCTGGTACGATGACGACGAACAATGCGGTGCAGCATGGTACTTCAAAAGCACTGCCCCTCACGACGGTGCCGACTCCTGCAAGTTCTATTCGATCCTCGGAAGAGGTTCTCAGAGGCTTTCGGCTTTTCGGGACGTGCGCTTCGGATTGATCGTTGGGAAGGTCAGGGGTTTAGAGTTTGAGGGTCCGGGCTTTGGGTTTAGGGATTTTGTTTTTCTGTGTGTGTTATGAAGCTAGTATAGAGGGTTCTATCAGGAACAGCGCGGGATTCTTGGGTTGTTGGGAGGTTTGTTGACCCGGGCTTGGGGTGCAAGATTTGTGGTGCGCTCTCGATAGAAGAGTAGCCCTCATGAGGATTGCTCCACCAGGTTTTTGCGTATAACGAAACCTACGATCACATCAATGTTGAGTGGGTGCTTGAGTGAGCATGCCTTCACAGCACCTGTTTCGTTGAAAGATGGCGGACCGTCATGACCGTTCAAGCCGAAGCTTCGCCTTTCAAGGAGGGCCGACAGCCCGGCGACCTTTCCGCCAGATTCTGGTTGGCAAACGCTGTGCGCAGATGCTGAGACGGAGGTCTCTGAAGACCAGGCGACCCGGCAAACCTTAGGTGAGCCGCACGATCATTCAGCATTGTCCCTGGTTTGACACCCGAGTGGTGAATGCTCGTCATGGCCGGCAATATTGACATGTTCAGAACTTGGCAGGTAAGCATTACGGCAGCGGCATGGTTTGTGTCATCCGAATCCGGGCTTGGCCCTGAGGAGCCACTGTGTTGGGAGGAGGTCACCACAATGCATGCAAAGAAGCAAACTCACATCTGCCAGACTGCTAGAGCTGTTCCCTCATAAGGTCGTGTGAGATTCTACCAGAAAGCCAATGCATCACCACCAGAAAGTTTCCAGAGAGCTTCTACACTTACACGAGCTACGGGAAGTGCAATATTCAGGTCGCCGAAAATAATACGTTGCCCATCCAAGTCCTCGCCTTCACGACTGGCCCCAAAGACATCTTGACCGTAAATGGCGAAAGCTACTCCGGTACGACTGGCCCGAATGACGTGGTGCCTCAGGGAACCATTCAGTGGAGGGCTGCGTCTCAGCTGCAATAACGACTTGACCCGCTGTTGCGGAGTTGTGAGAGAAACATCTGTATCTCTCGAGGAGTGTTAACTAAAGTTGACACAGGTGCAGTCTTTAGAGTTTTCTGAGGACGATGTTGATCCTGCCAGCCGCTATGGCTGGGCAATCTGCCTTGGTGAGGCTCTGCTGCTTTGGCATGGCGTCATGTCTGTTTGGGTGAGAGTTGACAATATGGCAGGTGCCGGCAAACATGGCCAAAGCCTGGAGCTCTGTGCAGAGTAAGTCCGTGCTGACTGCCTTGCATAAATCACAAGACTCCTGCGACACGAATTCTTTGATGGCATTGTTGCGCTGTACTGAGCCTAGAGCGATGCGCAGACGAGTGCCACAGGTTAATGTGAATGGCCGATCTTGGCGTGTGATTGCAGGGTGCGGCGCTCGGAGACAGAGCGAGAGAGAGTCGAAACTCTTTGCCCGCAAAAGTCGTGAGCGCTTAAGCGTGTGGAGAAGGCATCCCCCTTCTCCTCTAAACCTGGGAGAGAAATCAAGATAGAGAGAGAGAGTGAGAGAGTGAGTGAGTGAGTGAGTGAGTGAGTGAGTGAGTGAAGGGTGACCCGGACAGAAGTCCGGCCGAGAAACAGCGGTATCACCTCCGGCCAAGTGGCTGAAGGATCTAACAGCAGACGGAAAGAAGACAGAAGAGAGAACGAGAGACGACAAGAGAGGGAGCGGGGGAGGGAGTAGCGAGGCTACGCGAGTCCTTGTCAGACAGAATGCTGACGGGCGAGAGGAGAAAGCAGCGTGGACAGTGCAGGTACCGTGACAGGCGACGAGAGCAGGCGAAAGAAGTAAGCAAGCAGGACGGTCTTTTGCATCCGGGTGACCGCGCTAATGCGGCTACGCCGCGGAGCTCCGCAGACCCCTGCCGGGCCATGCCTTCCACTACGGCCAGGAGCTCGCAGCGGAGAGCCGCTTCGAGTAAGACCATGGGAGTACATGCAGCTCTGAAGCTGGTGAAGCCTCTTCCACAAGGGTCCAGTGGCTACGAGCATGTCGGTGAAGCCGTTGCCGCAAGGTTGCGCCGATGCGACGGCTAGCCACGCCAGCATCCGGGACACATTCGGCAGATAGAGAGGACATGAGCTGCTGGATGGGCGGTGGTGTGGGATGTGGGCGTGACCAGGGCAGGGAGGAACTAGCACAGGCTGAGCGGCAAAGGCGAGGACGCAGAAGGACTGCAGGCGCTGGGGGCTCCATGATTCGGAGCATTGTCCCCGGAAGTGCAGAGAAGCAGCGCACGCACGGCAGTGCATAGCGGCCATGCGTTTGCACCACGGGCAAGGCGAAGGCTGAGGGACTCCAGAAATGGCAAATACAGCTCCGCGACAATGCGGGCAGCACTGTATTGGTGGCCTGGGTTGCGCAACCGCGTGAGCGCATTAGCAGATGTGCAGGAGAAGGGCTTTGGTGTCATCCCAGCACAGACCCCTGAGTCCAAGCATACTCGGTGGTTATGGTCGCGGAGCGGGACGCCCGCCAATGAAAGGAGCTGGCGCCGTCGACCGTCCGCTGGCAGTAAGCCATACGAGTACGGGATGGCTGTGCGCTCGTCCGGAATAAACCATCGCAGTTCCCTAACCATGGGCGTGGCCGGGCAGGGAAGCCATCCACTCGGCGACCGGATCAGGGACTTGCGCGTATTGAGGCAAGGCGGGCAAGGCCACTCCGGTGTCAAGGACCCGGCGAAGCGCGTCTGCCCAAGTGCTCACACGTTGGAGGTGAGCTGCGCGGATGCGTCTGAGTGCAAGGAAGAGTAGCCGCAAGGGCCGCAAGGGATGCACGGCGTGGCCAGCTGCCTGAGTCAGGCGGTGGAGACTGTTGCCCGCCTCATTTGTGGTGGAGGATAGGTCGCGGAAAGTGCTGTACTGCTCCCCTACTGTAGTTCCTCCTCTGCAACCCTGGGAATCGCTTATTGATTGTAACCAATAGAAAGCATAGGAACTTTATTGATATTGATTTGCAGCGTCTTAATTGATTTATTCAATATTCATATTGATGTTGCTCTATTGATTTTTTTTCATAGGAAAATGTATAGATTTTATTGATTCTCTCTTGTTTGTTTCTATTGATTTCACATACCCAGGGTATTGATTTTAGTTTTTGCTGCTTGTGCTTGCATGCTTTATTTTTTGCATCATTTTCCGTCTGCAGCCACTGGATCCAGGGCAAGAGATCTGGGAAGGTGCCCTTTACAGGCACCTTAGTATTAGCCTAGCCATGGGCAAAAACAAAAGTGGCTGGAGCGAAAGCAAAGGTGGCTGGGTTAACAGCAAAAACAAAGCAGCTGGCTCTGGCACTGTGACTGATGCCAGAAGAAAAAAATATCAAGAGAAATGCAGGAAAAGAGATGAGAAAGCAGCCCTTGCTAAAAGGGCTGAAGGTTCGTCGCTTGACAAAAGCGACGGTTCGTCGCTTGACAAAAGCGGCGGTTCGTCGCTTGACAACAGCGATTATCTCGATGTCAAAGGCTTTGAATGGCCAGACATGAACGGAAGCTATCGCATTGACAGGTCCCTGTGCATAGGAGGAAAACCGACTTACTGGGACACGGACCGGCGGTGCTTCTTCTATTACCAGAGGTCGCTAAGGAGATGGGCCATAAGTGTCTATGACCTCGATGATACAGGAGAAGATTTACTCTTGCATGCACAGCAAGGCGGCACCAGAGGTGTCGCTTGTCAAATCGGT